GGATTTACCCAAGTGTTTTCAATTTTCAACAAAAAAAAGCACTTCAAACTGTCAGACTTGTTATTTTTAATAATAAAAATTTCCATCGGTCCGTTCTAAAGAAAATGGTGGCAATAACCAGTTGCAATACCCCAAGAAACAAAGCTCACACCCAGTATGAAAAAGCAAAAAAAAAAAAAACTGTATTCAAGTTCATTGAGAGAAACGTGTGAATATGCCCACACGTGCGTGTGCGCATGTACTCACGTAAACAAATACATGTACAAACACACAGACACACACTCACACGTGTCCCAAAAAAAACTGAAAGTAAAATAAAGAATTTATCCGCGGTACATAAATCTGACAGAAACTCACTAATAAGGAAAATCATTAGCTGAATACCGTACTTCCTCGATTGTTCGTACCTCGATTTTCCGGACATCGATTATTCGGACGTGAAATAATTTCATTTCATAAGACCAAAACCAGTAGCAGGCAAGAAAGAGGAGCATGATGCTTAAGGTTTCAAGTACTATGGTTTTGATTTCCCTCCAGAACAATAGCTTAGTGCCGTTGCCTCGGAAATTTGGTGACATAGTAATTGCGAGTTCAATCTCTGAACCCAGCAGTACAGACTTAAGAACAAAATGAAATATTCTGTATATTAGCAGAACAAGAACAATTTCACCCCGTAAAGTAAATGAAGGTTGGAGATTACCTGACGATTATCCGTATCGACCAGCCCTTGAAAAAATTCGGAGGCACGAAGGCCGAATCGTTGTACTAATAGCCACAATGATAAGAGCATTAGTCCGAATGTAAATAAATAACCAAATCTGTATTAGCGAGACAAAAATGTGGTTCACTTATAACAAATGAAGGCTTAATTTCACTTTAACTCTATTCTTATTTCAAAATAGTTTTTTTTTTTAATCTTTTTACCCCAAGGAAGGCGATAATATCCACTAAGATACAAATAGTTGCTGAGAGTGATAGAAACAGAGAAGACAATAAAAGAACAGGTTTCAAGGAGACAGAAGATGACGATTGAAGATGCTTTTAAACTTCTGAAGGCCGTAGTTGACAGGAAAACCGGAGGCCAGAAGAGAGTTCCATAATCTTAAACACAAAAATAATTTCAAATTTCTCTTCTCCGTCTTTATCATTTCAAATAAACCAGACGATTGTCATCGTGCGTAGATAGATAGATAGATAGATAGATAGATAGATAGATAGATAGATAGATAGAAACAGTGTAAACATAGAAACCAAAATTGCAACATTGATTCCCATGGCAACACTGTTTATATCTATAAATAGCCTATCTCTGATATTGAGCACTCTTCTACAAATATATCAAATTTAAATTACATACACCCACCCACACACACACACACACACACATATATATATATATATATATATATATAAAAATAAATATATCAAATTTAAACTACACACGCACACACACACACACACACACACACACATATATATATATATATATATATATATATATATATATATATATGAAGAGAGAGAGAGAGAGAGAGAGATCATCTGAAACTTTTCAGCAGATATTATTGAAGACCAAAGAAAACATTTATGTGAGGAAATTGTGAGCAATGTTCTCTTGTTTTCGACAAGTTAGCAAATGTTTCCTTTCAATTTTTGTAGAAATTGTCTGTACATATGTCGTTAAAATGACCAATGATGTTTGAAAGCTGTAGAAACATATTCGTGCAAAGATTTTACGTGTATCAATGTGCGTCTGTGCGCGCGTAAAGACGCCTTATTAGCGGTTGCTAATATAAATGTCACCCTGGTATTTTGTCTTTGTTTCTTGAGTGTACATAATGATAAGTAAAACATATCTGCTTCACAGCTCTGGCCGGTGTTTCTAGATTTCATATTTTACGCTAGAGTTCTTTTGTTTTTATATCATCTTTACTTAGAATAAGGACTGTGTCACTTTATCTTCTGTGTCTTGCTCGACGTGTAGAGGAATTGCATGTCATCGAAGTGCTGTTATCTATCATTGCGAATGTGATGCGTCAACATTTGGTTGTCTCGTCAGGATGATAATACTATAATATGATATAGAATCGGCAATGTCGTGAAAGCTGAGAGCTAAAAATCGTGATTGGAATGAGGCACCGTGTCTTTAAATGCTAAAGGCGGATCAAGAAGAAGTAATAAACGTTTGAAATAATTAAAGAGAAAAATGAATAGTAAGAAAAGAAGGAAACAAGAACGAAAGGAGGAAGAGATAGAAGACGAAGAAAGAAAAAAAAAAGACAAGAAATAAAATGAAAAGGATTGGGAGGAGATGAAAAAAAAAAGAAGGAAAGGAGACGGTAGCGAACGTCGCCGAAAAGAAGAAGGAAGGAAAGCAGATGAAAAAAGAAGCAGAAAACGAGAAAGAAGAGAATTGCTGGCGATGCAAAGTTCATTTTCGATTGGTGGCTTGCGCACACGAAGTATAGGCGATGAAATCAGCCGTGAAATGCCGTGTTAACGCTACTCATAAGAGCCAGCAGATGGTGTCACGAACGGCCGTTTCCCGCGAAATCCGTAAGTGCGGCAAACCGACCCATAAGCTTTCTCGCTGAAAAGGACTGACGCGTTAGTTTTGTAGTTAAATCATTTAACTGGAAACTTCGAGATTTACGGTTCAATTCATATGGACGATTACAATTTCAGAATAATTGTTTTTCCAAGTATGATGCAAATTTTCATTTCGTGGGAAGAGAGTCGTGGGAGAATCGGTCAGAGTTGATCTTACTTACTCTTCCCTAATCTACCATACTTTTCTGTTAGTGAAATAAATTATTCAGAAGGAAACTCAATAAGAAACGCGGTTCAAATTAGAGGAAATTATTATTTCTGTTTGTGTATATGCTTTTGTTTTTATTAACCTAACTCGGTGATTCTCATCCGCTGCGGCACAACCAGTGGGCAATCCACTTAGGCGTGCCGCGAAATACTGTATATATATATATATATATATATATATATGTGTGTGTGTGTGTGTGTGTGTGTGTGTGTGTGTGTGTGTGTGTAAGTAGTAATGCTACAGCGTTATCATTTGAATAAATGAATAAGTATTAAACTTTTTATCCAACATTAACTAAAAAGGCTTTATCAGTTTTATTGCAATTTTCTACTTCTTATTTCTGTGAATTAGGCTTCTCAACCTTAAATAACATAAAAAATATGAATAGAGAAAGACTATGCTCCACTGAAGAAGACATGAGGGTCCGCTTATCGCACTATTCGACCAAATATTGAAGAAATCGCGAAAAAACACCAGGCAGAGATTTCACACTGAATAAGCTGCAGTTAACTAGTTAAATAGAAATATTGAAAAGTAAGTTCATATTTCGGTGTGTATTTTTTTTAAATCTATGTTTTTATTTCATAACATTTAAATGTATATCTATTTTGCTAATGATATTTTAATTTGCTCCAAGGTGTGCCGTTGCTTAAAAAGGTTGAGAAACACTGACCTAGCTAATGAAAAACGGCATATCGTCACGAGATCTCTGTGAGAAAAAAAGCTTGAAGAACAAAGCAATATCGTGTTCAGTTGGCAATTAAATAAAGGTTCAGTCAAAAGAAATGTGGTTCTACAGAAGGATGCTGAGAATAAGCAAGCAACGTGGAAGTTGGATTCAAAAATGACGATTACACTTAAAATCAGAATAGATTTCTGGAACACATAATGAGAAGCGAAAACCTGGAAAATTTCACGCTCACAGGTCATATTGAGGAGAGAGGAGGGGGCTGTTAGTAATCTACGTAACGAGCTCGTGTAAATAAACGGAAGAAGACGGAGGGGGACAAATACTACTAAGAGCTTTGAAGGATAAGAAGTTGCGGAGAGCCATAAACGTCCACTTTCTGAATGGACACGGCACACAAATGCAGTTAAGCAACAGTCTGTTCATATTCCTGCAAGACGCCTTTTGAATCCTAGCAAATTCGATAGAATTCCTCACCCCAACAAATCTTAGATTAGATGTTGAAAGTTGTACAAAATCTAGTGACATTTTTTTTTTCGTTATGGATTCTGCTGATTCTCTTATTTTTATTTATCCACTAATGATCTTTTCGAAAGAAAAAAAAAAAAGGACATGTAATGGATGACAACGTTTCTGTTTCTTTCATGGATTCATGTAGAACAGTGTTTCCCACCATCAAAATTATTCCTAAGGTTCGTAAGCAACAAATAACAGTTGGTTGATTACACAGGCAATAAAAAGAAAACTTCAGAAGCACTTTTAAGATATCCCTAGCATTATGCAAAAAATGTCGTTACGGGCTTTTGCTGCAACTGCATCAATTTATTCGAACAATTGTTATTGTTTTGATTATTATAGGTGTTATTGTAGACACAACGTTTCGATCAAGTACATTGTAGCTAGCCATCTTCAGGCGTTTGGCTGATGTGGAATATCTTTTCATTACTGTATTTGTTCGTTCCTACTGAACCAGTGATCCAGAGTTTGAACTTACGACCTCTACATGACATTAGCACATATTTAACCAACTTCTATATCCACAATTGTCTCCGTTCAAAAGTAGATAAGTGGTGCATTTTTGGAGCCTTTTATATATTCAATGTCGCACGGTTTCAACATATGACGGTTATCATGTCGGGTTAAAACCGTTTTTAATAATTTTGCATTTCATTTTTGACTGGTTGGTTGTTATTTTTGTTTTTTTTTTGTTTTTTGGGGTTTTTTTTTTTTTTTGTAGCGGCATATCAATCTCTATTGGTTATTTAATGCTGAAATTTAAATATTTTGTACGCAATTTCATTCATTTTTTTTAGTGGGAGGGTTATAATTGTTTAATGATGCAAGTTTTACTAATTAACCCATATCTGGGAGAGAAAAAATAGATTCATACTTTCCCCGAGAGTATTTGCGCGTAAGTAAATATAACAAACTCAACTGGAACTCCGATTAACAATTCTGAGCTATTATCCATTGCACCATCAGCAAATCCAACCTCACAGCACCTGATATTCCCAAGCGGTCACCCATCTCGATACTGACCAGGTTTGACTTTGCTTAACTTCGGGGATCGTACTGGAACCAGTATTTCAATGTGATGTGTCCGTAAGCCACGAAATGAGGAATACTTTAATTTATTCCAACTATTGTTCTTGTCTTTGTCATTATAGATGTTATCATAAACATAACATCTCGAGCAATTACACGCTGTCCATCTTCAGGTGTCCATTGTTTGGCTGATATGAGATATCCGTTGATTATTTTGTCAAAGGTGAACAATAATTCACTGCGAAGTAAGCGAAATATTTGGATTCGACCAAGAAAGACAAATATACCATTACAAATAATGTTTTTGAGAATAGAAAAGATTTTAGAGACTTTACCATTTAAGTCGATAATCGATAAAAACACTGACAAAAACATCTGTCAGTCAACGTTTCAGAAAAAAAAAGAATGATACTAAAAAGTAAGAGAAAAAGTCTTGATAAATATAAAATCTTTTTCTATGTGAAATAAACATAGAAATGCAAAAGGAACAAATGTGTCTACATTTTCTTGATTGCTTAAAATGGCTCCAAAGGCTGTTGTACAAAACTTCAAGAATTGGCAAGAATGGTGAGGAGTGTTCTGGAAAAAAGGCCTCCTATCTGTCTTGCGTAATGAACGGGTATAGATAATATACTATTATAATGCTCTTTGTTCCTTAGTTCCTTAGTTAACACGTACGTTGCACATTGCCATTACCTCAGGTAAGCAATGAACTTTTTATGTTTGATTGCGAGGCTAGGCGGAAGAAAAGATATATTAAATGTGTTGTTTAGTTTTCAAGAAAGAAAGAAAGTCTGCTTCAGTCAAATGGAAAACATTGTCAATTTTGAATATTTTAATTTTTTTAAGCATTTCATCCCAAATAAGGCGAGAATGCCACTAGTACGCAAGGAGTTACAGGAAGTGAAGATAATAGAAAAGACTGGTTATAGCGGGGGTCGGAGGAAATGATAAGAAGAACGGAGATCAAGGCATCAGAAGATGAAGATTGACGTTACATATAAATTTTTGAAGATTGTAGTTGTCGGGGAATCAAGTAAGAGGAAGAGAGTTCCACTGTCAGAAAGTACGAGAGAAAAAGCACGCTTAAATTCATGCAGTCGGGCCACGAGAGAAAATAGTTCGTCAGAACAGTTGCCATGAAAATATTTGTAGAAAAGACAGAGGGAAGCCACATCACGCGTGGAGTCGAGGTGCCAACTCCGGAACGATCAAATTGCAGATCCGTCTTTGGATTTTGTCGAGCACCTTACGATGAACAGCAGGAGCACCAGACCATATATGGCAGCAGTATTCAATGTATGGACGAATGGTAGATATGCAGATGTGTAGGATGGACTTAGACAAGAAAAAAAACTTCTAGCACGAAACATGGAGAACCAATTTCCCTTGCGGAAGCACACTCTTTTTTTTCTTAAATAATATTCATGAATGTTTTCGCAATATTATGTTAACGTTTTTAAGTTCAATTATTTAAGGAGAAAGTAGAGGGCATCTTATAGTTGCCCAACACGCCAAGAGCTTATTCAATAATTAACGTAAGAAATTTTATGAGAAAATTCAAATAGGAAAACTGACATTTCCACGGATATTTCTGGTTAATAATTATTAAATGAGTCATTTCTAAATATTATTAAAATTCTTCCAAAGAGTTTGGGACAATTTCAGATGAGAAGGAAATTGAGACGATTCAAATCACAAATCGCTTGATGTCGGTCAGGATACTAAGTAAATCACTGAACATTTTAGAAGACTTGTTGTCTCCAGCATTAATCTCCAGATGTAAAGATAAATGTACTAATTATTATTATTATTATTATTATTATTATTATTATTTTGTTTGATTTTTGGCGTTTACACATTTCTTTCCGGGTCCCGCCCAGGGACCTAAGGTTAGACACTTTCCACTGACAAAAAAAAAAATTACATAGATAAAGCCCTTCGTAAAGTGTGGGCTGTACTTGTCAGAACAATTGTTTGTATCTCCTTGAGGCATGGACTTCAAGGAATCCCTTCAATTAGTTTACTGGAATCTTTTCCAACTAATCCTAGGGCTCCAACTACAACAGGGATTGTTGATGTTCCCATATGCCACATTTTTGAGATTTCTATTTCAAGGTCCTTGTAATTTGATAGCTTTTTGAATATCTTCAAAGATATATTGCAGTCTGCAGGGACTGCCATATCAATAAGGAGGCACTATTTTTGTTTGTAGTCTTTAATAACAATATCTGGACGGTTGGCTTTGATTGTTCTGTCAGTGTGTATTGTGTAGTCCCATAGAATTGTAACAGATCCTATCTCCGTAACCGGGTCTGGATGGTGTTCATACCATTTTCTTTCAGTTTCCTTCCCGTAGAAGTTGCAGATATTCCAGTGCATATATTAGCCCACTCTGTCATGCCGGGTTTTATATTCAGTGGGTGCCAATATCGTGCAACCTGATACAAGATGATCAATTGTTTCTGGATATTTATCACAGAATCTGCATTTGGGGCTAACACAATTTTTTAGTATATGTGCTTGATAATTCCTAGTTAGCAAGCATTGGTCCTGTGCAACAAGGATAAAACCTCCAGTTTCAGCTTTTAACCCTGCACTACGTAGCCACTGATGGGTACGGGTTTTGTTCCTCAGATACATTTCTCGGATGGACAAAACAGGAACTCATATTAATGAACCGACAAACAAGAAAACTTATAATCATGTAGAGGGTTGAATTGATTTTAAAAAAATCACTTCAAACATTATTATAGTGGATAGTGAGCAAAACTAAGATGTGGCACAAGACCGAAAGTATAGAGCCCCCAGTGAGGATTAACCTCACTACTCAGTCATAATTGATCTAGCGAGACAAGCTTCCTAACCATTATACCACGTCTAAGTTCCATGTTATTTTAATTAATATTCCATATTTGATATAGACGCCCTATTTATATTTATTAAACAGTGTCCATTACGTTGGCTTGTGCTTTCGAAAAATCTTAGTAAAAAAAGATGCATTATATAAGGCTAATATAACTCCAACGTTAATCCTCTAACATGAGTGGCACTTGGGCCTTCTATGGAGTGAATATTTGCAAAAAAAGGCCCTAAACCTCAAAGATGACTCTTTGATTACATATATAGCTACAGTGGAAGCGTCTGGTTAGCACGGCCGAATTACTGCTTTTAAACTACAAATTTCCCATGATTTCTCTCGAACGCTCATATCTCCTCGAAGTGTATCTTAACGTTAACAAATGATATCATATATTATGAAAAGTCCGATAATTATTTTAATATATTTAATGCTTATACGTTATTTTTATTGATACAAATATTTATATGTTCCTAATAAACAGTATTAACTTTAACAGTATTAAATTTCTCGGACATTCAGGCTGGTAAATGTTGTTAATACTGTTTATTAAACCGAGTAAACGGATCATTTACTTAAATATTTGTATCTATAAAAATAACGTATAAACAATAAATATATTAAAATAATTGTCGGACTTAGTTCATTTCATAATATAAGATGTCATTTGTTTACGTTGAGATACGCCTCGAGCAGATATGAGCGTTCGAGAGAAATCATGGGAAATTTGTTGTTTAAAAACAGTAATTTGACTAACCAGATATATAATTATATATGAAAAGAAAAGAAAGGGGCAGATAAATCATCAGCAACGAAAACTGTGTCTAAAATGAAATTGGAAAATTACGTACAAATGTGCGACGAAAATACGAAAAACGCTCGAAACAATGCAACAAGAGATTAAAAAAAGAAAACAAGGAATGGTGGACAACGGGACGAGGAAAGAAAATGATGAAGAGAAAACATTCGACGGAATATTTAAAAGTCAATTAGAAGATATCACTTATCTATAAACGATATTGAATCAGGCTGCACAGTGATAGCACTCACTGAATATAAAACTCGGCATGATACAATGGACCAATATTTGCACTGGAAAATATGCAACTTTTACGAGAAGGAAACTGCAAGAAACTGGTATAAACATCACCCAAACACGGCTACACAGACAGGACCAGTAACAATTTTATGAGACTTTACACACAGACAGAACAATCAAATCTAATCGGCCAGACATCGTGATCAAAGACCACAAAAATAATGTGCTTTTCTTATGACGATACTCAGTCACCCCCCTCCCCCCCACGAGGGTGTCATGTGGCACAAGGCCTTTTTAACGTGGGCATTCTGAGCCCGTGGGCTCGGCCAAAAATATGCCCATTGAACCCGTATAAACGGGTTCAGGGCCGGTTTTACCTCCCCGAAGGAGACTCCGCCCTTCGGTGTAGCCTCCTTCGGGTTCCTCCCGTCCGTAGGAAGAGGGTTTAACCGAACAGTCGCTCAGAAAATACTGGGTCGACTGACTGTGCTTTTCTTATGACCGTCACTGTAGATTGTAATGTATCTTTGAAGATCATTAAAAACTATCAAAATACAAGGATATCGAAGTGGAAATCTAAAAAATATGGTACATGGAGAAATCAATAATTCCAGTTGTACTTGGAGCTCTATGATTGAATGGAAAATGTTCCGATAGACTCAACGAAGGGATTCCTGGCAGCACATGCCTTAAAGAAAGACAAAAATTGTACTTACAAATACAGCTCACACATTGCGAAGGACTTTACCTATACCAAATGTGTATGATCAGAAGATTTCGAAGTGATCAGTGAAAAATGTCATGAAGTATTTCTGACCTTAGGTCTATGATTGGGACCCGGAAGGAATTGTGTATATAACAGAAATCAAAGGAAATAATAATAATAATAATAATAATAATAATAATAATAATAGTAGTAGTAGTAGTAGTAGTAGTAGTAGTAGTAGTTGTTGTAGTAGAGTAAAATTAAAGAAATGTTAAAGGCTGAAACATATCTAAACTTTGTAAGTTTCAAAAAGTCGAAGAAGCTAGTGGTTGTTCCCATGATTAGGTGAAAACACTGAAAATGTTTCTAACAAAAATGTAAAGAGTTGAGAAGAATTGGAATTAAGATGGAGAATTGGAATTAAAATGGAGAATTGGATTAATTCAGGTAAAA